TTTTCGGCGCTCAAAGTGGAATACTTGCGGCGAACGGCGCTTTTTCATTTCCCTAGACATTATTTCTTTGGCCAGATTTTTCTTATGCGCCCTACGTTCATGGCCTGCTATTGCTTTTTATGCGCGCCCTTAGGCATTCCCACTTTCGACGGGAAGCACCGTCTGTGCGAGCTCCCCGTAACCCTTAAGTCCTTTCTGCAGGCCCCTCCCTCACAAAGCCATGTCACGGTAGGGGAGCCAGAAGTGAACTTCTCCTCTTAGTACCTGCAGGCCCTGCGGCTCCCTATCTGTCGCGATGTGGGAACCTGCGCAAACTGGACGGGCCAACTCTCCGGGGCTGCCACTAGGAGAGCACAGCGATGTTTTCCCGATGCGAACAACTGGTTCAGGGAGCAGTACGCCGTGTCGATCTTCCCCAGCCTCCCAGACACCTGGATCGTCAAGGTTTGCTGTGGCTTATCGCTCATTTAAGCAGTGGGTTGAAGGCCTTCTCGTTTCTGGCCTCAACCCTACAGTCAATCACGTGTCAAAGGCAACTCCAAGAAAAACAGCGTCCTCTCCTTCTGGGTGCATACCGACAGCATCCGCTAAGGCGAAGAGAAATGGCAAGAACGTTACATCAGAGCCAAGTCATTCCTGTTGTTCGGTGACGCCACTGAGTCGCAGTCACTCACCAGAGGTAGGGACCCCTCCTATCGCTCCTCCCGGCTCTCTTTCTGAAAGCTCTCGCCATTATAGCAACGGGATAAACTACCAGACAGCACCCGCCAGCCTTTCACCACGGTGGCCACTATGTGGGACTCACCTTGCGGAAGGACACCAAGATTGCAGCGCCGATCCTTCGCTTCCTCAGGGAGCACTGGCAAATTTTGCAAAGGAAAGAATACAAAGTTTTAAACTTGACCACATTCCTGAAGATGCACTTGAGAGTCAGCATCTAACGGTAACAAACAGCGCGCATTGTCATTCTGTTCAGTCTGAAGATAGGGGTTCAAGGGATGCTGCTTCAAGCCAGCATGCGTCAGTTGCCCCCGATAATAGCACAAATCCGACAGCAGATACAAGGTGCACGCTTGAAGGAACAAACAGTCGGTATCAGACGAATCCTCTAGGGTTTGCTGGGCTTAAGGTAGGCAACGAAACGTTCCGAAGGCCGAATGGGACCGAAACGCCTAGAGCAGGCGTACGAGCACCCACTTTGAGGACAAATTTCCTTCATTACACCTCATTCCGAGTCCGGTGGGGTGATGTGAAGACACAGCCTTCTCCTGATGCTCAGGTGCCTGCTTCTTCGCTGTGTGAATCTGCAACTGAATGCGACATACCCTGCTCTGCAGAGCCACGTGACTTCCTCCTCCGTCGAGATGTTCAGGCAGGTGACAGCGAAGCCCCAGCACTTGAAGTTTCAGTATCTGGCACAGAGGCACATGGGGGTTTGAGCAGCGGCTACACAAAGGCTCACGGACTGCAAGACGCAGATAGTTTGCTCTGGCGAATGAAGGACCGGTTGTCCTCAACATTTTGGTACTTAGGACACTGCTAAGTTGGTAGCCCGTAGTCCTAGCTGATTTTTCGCTCGACGCTAGCTGCAAAAAGCAGAGATTTGGTAGAACTTGCTCAAACTAATACCCCGTGTCCCAATTTTTATTCTGAATTTCCATTTTCCCGTTTTATGCTCAGGAGCAAAACTAGTGCTGAGAGTCGGACGCATATATCTAGGGAGCAGCCTCGCGATTCCGTTCGAGCCCTTAGTGCTGTAGATACGAAGTTTTATGGACAGGAGAGCTTTGCCCAGGGACCAGATCCTCACTTTCAGCGCCACCTGGCGCTAGTGTTTAAAGATCCAGAGATCGAGTCTGCATACGGGGAGTTTCTCCGAAAGGCACGCGTGAAGCGTCTTGTTCTTGTTGGACTGCTGACAATTTTTTTGAACACAATGTACGACATGCCGGAGTGGATCATTACTTTCACAGCTCCGATGTTAAGATCCAGGGAAGCGACTGGAGAAGCTCCCGAGTTGGTTGCATTCAGCACAGTTTCAAACCAGCCTGGCACTGGGGGTCCGGCTAACTTCTTAACTTGGTTCCTGGTTTCATTGGACGTAGTCGAAGTACTCTGCCAAGTAGTGCTTGCAGCATCAGGATATCTTCCCTTTTTAAAGCATCACACAGAGAGAACCGCTGTGACAATCATGCTGGGCACGTCTTTGCTTAGCTCGATCAGGCCGGCAGCGGTCCTCTTCGAATCCAACCCACAAAGCGCTGAAAAGACTTACAGAGAGGTGAGAAGACGTTTCATTTGACACTGCGGCTACAGAAGCGCTAGAGAACAAATAGAAAGTTGACAAGCTTGCAATGAAGCCGCTGTAGCCTCGAAATAATGGCGAATTTTGAGCTCCCAAGGTATCCTGCTCTTTGTATGCAGACGCTTGTGACGCCTGTCCAAACCATAATGACGTCTACATTCCTTAGGAGCATTGTGGGAAGCGTGCTGATTGATTTAGTGTGCCTAGTAAGGAGACGCAAACTATTCCACTTCCACAAGCTCCTCCTGCTCCTGTTATTGGCACTTCTGGTGGCATGTACTGTCGGAGGACTCCAGCTTCATTTTCCATATTCATTCTTTGTTTTCTCTTGGACAGTCGGGCTTGCAACAGGAGTGGTCATAGCTTCATGCTACGCTGGAGCCTATATGAGCGAGCTTATGCACAGAAAAGCATTTTATAGCGTGTCGACAATTTCTGCGAAGCTAGAGAGAATCCAAGAGGAGAACAAATCGCAGCGCGCTACCGGGAAGAATATGCTGGAGCAGCTTGTAGGCTTCCTTGAACAAATGGGAGCATCGCTTAGCTCAATAGATCCTGGAGGCGTGGAAAAGTCTGTAAGGGAGACACTTTTGCTTGTCTCTGCCCTCCAAGCGAAGTGCTTGGGTGTTCTTACCAGCGGAAGAGACATGTATGCAGTCAATTGGCTTTCACCTGAAGTGCCCCCTGAAACGCAACTCTTATACAAGAAGTTCATTGAACCTTACGTGCGCCAAGATTCAGTATTTGTGAGGACACATGAAGCGCAAGTTGTTCCAGCACCGAATCTGTCACAAGAAAGATCTAACCGGAACAGTTGCACTCCAACTGCAGCGGCAAGAGGGGCAACTTTTCCTCAGCCACAACCATCTCACGGCGAAGCACAAGGACAAGTAGCCGCTGTTTTCCAGCCAGTAACGATGACCCTAGAAGAAGGTTTCCACTTACCTGAAGTTGATTCTGCTTGTCTCACATCGAATTGGAGCATAGGCTACACTCGCGGAGAACTTTCGGATAACGCAATGAAGTCACTCCCAGAAAATTTCTTAAAAGCACTATCCAGCAAAAGGGCTGAAGGTCCAGCATCGAATATTCCAAACCCACAAGCAGTAGCTTCTTCCACTGAAATCGGAGTCAACCGAAATGGGACAAGCATACACGGCGGCAACCCAGACCATGATACCATAGGAACCCCTGCCAGCCATGCGCAGCAGCGTATCAGTACAGCTGGTGAGACCGATTGGAGAGCTGAAGCGGATTGCGAAGTGGAAATTACCCCGCAACACTGCTCCAGAGAAGCTGCTCTTCTTTGGGGAGGGCTTTCAGCGGAAACAGAGTCGGCTATTGAGGAGGCGCTCAAGAGCCCAATTGTCAGCGGCACAGCTTGCAACATAGGTGCCGAATGGACCATTGACATGTTTGCTCTAGACCAACTAACGAACGGAAATGTGAGACAGTGCCCCACAAATACGAGCTTTTACATTGCACGCAGACTTCTAAATCATTAAATTCTCAATGTAGTTAGCCGCAAGCAAACAAGACCGTGTCCACAGATTAATTCCATACCTTTGCGCCATGTGCGAAATGGGCTATATTCCAAACGTTGCTTTGTTTGTCTTGTGCTCAACTATGCTACTTAGTGCCTAGTGCTTGTTGGACTGCAACTATTGTTGCCCCACGTGAGAAATGGCGGCCTGAGCTGCACTGCTTTGGCGCTGCACGCCTTTCTGAAATCACTACAAGACCAGTATCTCCCGAATCTATATCACAATCGCCTACACGGAGCTATGGTGGCGCACCTGTCCGTAATGTTGGCTAGGATGTCTGGGCTCTCTAAAATGGTTCAGCTTCGTCTGGGAAATCCCACAGAAGTGGTGCTGACAACTGCCCCTTCGAATTTTACGTTTACACGGGGCAGCACCACATCTGGTAAACAGTGGCAGCCGCGAGATGGAAAATTATTGCTCCCAAGCAACAGTTTTCACGCTTATGCGGAAACGCAGGCCACCGCTTGGAAGGGACTGGATGAAGAAGTTGTAATATGCGTTGCAGCTCTGGGTCATGATGTTGGGCATCCCGGACTTAACAATGCCTTCCTCGTGTCAACCAATCAGTCTCTTGCTCTTGTATACAACGATAACGCCGTTCTGGAAAATTACCATGCATATATAACTTTCAGAACAATCTCAGCCACAGCGGAGGTGGACGGAGGAATATTGAGAGTGCGCACTTGCTGAAATGTCCTGGACATGCTTGCTGAGAAAAGTTGCTAAAATAAGGCCATGCTATAGGAGTAAAAATGCATTCTTGAGCCTAGGCTTACTGCAGTGGATGGTGATTTCAAGGTGTCTTTGTCTACGATGCACGCAGGGGCTTTCAGCCAGCGCATATCGCCAGTTAAGAAAACAAGTGATCGATTTGATTCTTGCAACGGACATGGCGCAACACTTTCCTATTCTCTCATCTTTCCGTGCACGCAATGCTTCCCAGACGTTTTCTGTTAGCTCCAACGAAGAAGATAAATGGATGCTCGCAAAGCTGCTAATCAAAACAGGGGATATTGGGCATTCAATGCTTGCCTGGGAACAACACTACATGTGGGCTTGTCGAGTTAATGAGGAGTTTTATAAACAGGTCAGTCCACCATTTAGAGCCTAGTGAGTTGCCCTAGTGTTTCCCCTTGGGAGAAAAATTGGGTATGCTATGCTACAGCAGACAATTTGATTGCCGCATTTTCGCGGTCCCCTCTGCACTCCGCCTTCCTGGCTGCTCCTTGCTCAAGCATCCCACAAATAGACTTCACCAAGACGATGCCGGCTGTTACTTGCAGGGCGACCTGGAAGAAAAGCTCGGCATTGCAATATCGCCGCTGTGTGACCGCCGCAAGGCAGATGAATTGCCGCAAGCTCAGTGCAGCTTCTTGGAATACATTGTTTTGCCTCTGGCTACGGAAATAAGGTCTTGCTTGGAACGTCAAGTGGCTCCGCAGCACTCCGGTGGTCCTGTAATGGAGCCAAACTGCACTGCATTGTACTTGATGGAGGGAGTAATATCGCACGCAAACTACAATTTGAGATGCTGGAAAAGCATGACTAGTTCTCCTAGCCCACAGAGGCAAGAAAATACAACATCTTTTGAGCCCTGTGCTATGGCAGAAAAAGACAACGAAGCACTCAGCCACAATGACCGAAAAGGCACCCCATCCGTAATTACAACTGACTAGTCAAGCCAACAAGTGAATATGTGTACTAGGGCAGCAGCGAAGACCCCACAAGGGAGTGTACGCCGCAAAGCGCGGTAGTGGGACCTGTGAACTCTCAAAAATTTTATCATATTAATTGCGTTTGTCCCAAGTGATTACGATTGTAAGTGACAGCGGCGGGAAAAACCCAGACACAGCGCTGTCCACAAGTGCGTACATTGGTCTGCTCTGGCATAGTTGCATCAACTTCTGCCGAGTTCATTTTGCAAAATGTAGGTGACCTTCAGCGAAACTCAGGAGTTATTTCTTATCCCGAAGTCACCATGAGTTTGGGACTATTTACTTAAAGACATGATTACTTGTAGGAAGTCTGGTCGTTCCCGCAAGCTAGCTACGAAGCTGACAGCTAGCTAGCTAGGCTGGAAGTCTAAAGCAAGGAGAGGCTTTTCTGTGTCCGGGCAAAGGATTCGGCAAAGCTTTCATGCAGGCGCACCAACGAAGACACCAGCATTGCTTCACAGGAAAAAGGTGAAGCAGCCATTATAACATGACCCATCCGTACGGGACACCTGCCTCCAATTTTTGGCTGATTCCATCCATTGTCTGCTCCGCTAAACAACTATAGCGCTCTCTTCATGTTGTTCTCATCCTCTTTGGGAAGACACGAACTGGCTTCGCATGGTAATTGAACTCTAGTACCATGTTTTCTCGTTCTTATCCCAGAAGACGTGGTTGTTCGGGTACTCTGGTTGAGGATACGGGGGCATTCGGGTCACCTGGCACACGGGGTTTTCCTTGCGTATATATTCTGAGCGATAAACTGTGTCTCCTTCGAATGGAAGAGACGGAGGAAGTTTCACTTCTTGAGGGGCTGGCTGTTTGGGCAAGGGCTTAGGCCCAAACTCCTCGCGATATGCACTGTTCGCTTCAAACGGCAAAGAGGGAGGAAGTGTCACAGGAGCGGGGGGAACCACCTGAGGCAGTGGCTTAGCCCCATAATCAGATCTGAGAGAAGCAATCCGCAGAAAAAGCATGTATGGACTCGTTGAAGAACAAGTAGTGGATTCTCACGAAGCATCGGCCTCAAGAAATGCAATTCTCGAAAGAGCTGAAGAAAGGAGGCCTTCTGGTCAAGGTTTCGAATTTAGGGTTAAGGTGTTGGAGCTGCACGGTAACCAGGAGTAATGGTCGACACGTTAGGGCAACCTGCAGCACTCGCCCTATCTCTACAAAGTATGCATACCTGTAAGATGAGTTGGCTTCAAAGGGAAGAGATGGTTGGAGCTTCACTTCTGCTGGCTTGACAGGAGGGGGAAGAGGCTTAGGCCCAAAGTCTCTGCGGTATGCGGTGGTCTCTTCAAAGGGGAGTGAAGGTGGGAGGGTAACTTGAGAAGGCTTTACTGGGGGAGGAAGCGGCTTTGGTCCATACTCTGTCCTGTAACTGCTCTCGCCCTCAAATGGCAGAGATGGTGGTAGTGTGACAGGAGTTTGTTGCGGCCTGCGAATAGCGGTGGCAGCACAAACTTAAAAAGCAGCTTTTCTCGCATGCACAGAAATAAAGCTGGTAGATGTTCAGCCAGGTTAAACCTGCTCATACGTCAAATGAGCGCCGCTGGCGAGTGTGGCAAAGTTACGTTTCCCTCCGGCTAGTATGTTCGCTACGTACATGTGCATGACAACTCACTGTGGGGGAAGGGGCTTGGGCCCATATTCCTGCCGATAGACAGAGTTTCCCTCGAAAGGAACAGCCGGCCTGGACGGCACGCATTTGTGCTGACCACAAGTGCAGAGCTCATCGACGCAGTAACCCGGCTGGCGTGATGGACTTTTGGACCTGTGCGCTTCATCAATATCCGAGAGCCGCAGGTGGCGGGCGGGGACTTCACCTGGAGCCGCCACACGGGCACCCATGAGCTTTGTTTTGGAGAAGGAGGCAACCTCCGGTGCGCCCACTTGTTCGGACTGCATTTTCGTCCGCTGGGAACCGTGGATGAAGCTGCCCTTAGAGGTGCATCAAAGCCTGCGGCCACTTGAAAAGGGGACAAACTACAGAGCTTTGCTTAGACAACCCACTTTTAAGAGAAAGCGCTCAAGTTTCAGCGGTCCGATACTGGCTGGAAAGAGGAGAGGCCCAGAGATGCGAAGATTTTCAGGCAGCTGTGACAACGACTCATGCGAAATGTATCCAATGAACAGGCGGGAATATTTTCTACAAAAATTTCTTTCGGTACGGAGCTAGATTGTCTCTTCAATACAAGCGGCCACTCCCCAGCCTGCTTGCTAGCTGCCGACCGCATCGGTGGCCTGCGTTGATCTGAACCGGCCGTCGGCAGTGCCTCACGAGCAAACCAGTTTCTCTGCTCTAGTTTCCGCTATTTAGTTCTTTTCCAACAAAATCTACTTAAAATAAGGTTTTCCTTCTAAGGGGTTAAAAAATTCGCATGCAGGTGGCCTCAAAGCTTCTCTGCGTCCTTGGCCTATTGCTAGCTGCCTTCTTGTGCAAGCAAGCAACCCACAGCTCGCACGCGTTCTTTTGTGCCCACCACATAAGAACGCTTCTCAGTCTAACGAAAATATACGTCCTTTGATGACTCTATTGTACTATTTAGGGCGTCTTGAATCCCTGTGTGCTTCTGCGCCGGCACCGCCTTCAGACCCCTATCCCGAAATATCGAGACCGAACTAACTCCCGAAGACCGACTGAAAAATTCCCCAAAGATAGCCGTCTAGCCATTCTGCTGCATGAATACCAATAATAGCATATATCTGTAGGCAGCTCAACAGTTCTAATGTCTTCTGCGCAGAAATTAAAATTGAACCTCCCCCAGGGGTCACCTTGTCCCCTCCCAGTCCCAGACTCTTCAACGTAAATTAAAAAGGAGCCAATTATTTCGGTAGCTCCACTTATTCTGAAGAAGAAAAATGTGACAAAGTTGCACTTTAAAGCTCTGTTGTATACTCCTGCACGGAAGTTTATCCCCCTTTCTCCCCACGAACCGCATGCGATGCCCTAAGTGACGGCCTTCATTCGGCAAACAGTTTCTAACAACTAGCATCACACAGTAACCACCTGCTTCCGGATCTACGGAAAACTGTGACAGAACTTTTCCAAGATAAACCAAATGGGGTCAGGCGCATTGCACCAACGTGCCTGATCAGGAACGACTTTGCCCTCTAAAAAAGTTCAAAGTAGATGTTGCGCCCTCTGTTTGATCACGGTCCAAACTATTGACGGCCCCATATTCCTGGAGCGCACAAGAGGCCACTCAGTGTGCCACTCAGTGTTGTTACTGCGTGATGCTGCCATGGCCATTGATCGACCCTACGTTGGCTATGCCGCTCTCCGCAGATCTGTGCCAACTTCCAACTGAGAATCCACTTGGCTTCCCAGAAGGCCATACTCAATTATCCGTCATAGAGCTTCTTCTGGGTCACCCTTTTATTATCAATCATCCTTCCAGCCGTTCCCTTGATACCAGATTGTGACTGGTGGGATAAGTGGGGACACAAGGGCTCCTCGGGATTCAAGCGCCGCTCAAACCTGATCCCCTGACGCGACACCTGCGCTTGCCAAAGATACAACCACAATGAGAAGCCAACTCAAAACGCCGTCATTTACCTAAACACGGACATGGTTGCCCTGTCTTGTGTTAAATCAGAACAACTGCTTTCCTTACAATTCACTTGTCCGGATCAGCTGCTCTATGCCACTTTCTACTAATCATACACGTGAAACCTCTCCTCAAGGAACCATAGAAATGGATGGAGCCCTCACTTTCTGCTGGGCTTGGACTTGGCGCTGTTGAGCAGGTTGCCGATCGGGTTCCGACCACTTCACTTGGCTCGTTACAGCCATTGCTGGGGCCCGCCAAAATGGGGGACTTGCAATTGGGGCACACGGCGTTGCGCAGCAGCCAAATATCAATGCAGCTGTTCACAAGTCAGCAGATTAGAAACATCTCTTGAAGAGCAGCCAGTGCGACCGGTGGCTGACTACGACTGTTTTCTACAATCCTTGTAATCAAAGGGTTTGCTTTCTGGGCCTGTCATCTGATAAGCGAGACTGTAGGCAGAACCGGCATGCAGATGTCAGTAGCCTTTGATGTGGGGCAAAGAAGCACCAAAATAGTCTCTAAAGAGCCTCCACTGTTTGCAAGGAGTCTCACCACTTGTGGAAGATGTGGCCACAGGCCTGAAGAATTCGAACATTATCACCAGCTGCAAACTCCTCCAAACAAATCGAGCACGGCATCATCTCTGTCGGGTCATACTCAAGCTTTTGCCAAGGTATTCTCGCAACTTGGTCTGCAGGTTGAAAACAAATAGAAAAGTGACGGATGCATTACGCTGCACCTAGACCACCTATGGGAAGGGCCGGTGAGAGTGACAGCCACTGCAGGGCAAAAATACAAGCATGAGAAGAATTTTCGTGCACTTGGAGTCTCTGCAACACGCCACGGGAGCCCACGGAGCAACTCCCAGCCTACAAAGGAGCGTGCTCTTGTGCAAACTGAAATGGAGGTGATACAGCAAATACATGCGCAGGCACGTACTTGTGGATAGTGTGGATATACAATCAGCTCAGAAAGTGCTGCTACAAATACGTTTTGAATGAGGAAGGTCGAGATAGTCAACCGCACGAAAACCCACCGGGAGTTAAACCGCGACGGAAAATATATATTCCGTAGTCTGAGAAAATGCGAATTCGGCCCCAGCTGCAAAGACAGCATCCACCGAAGAATAAGAGCACAACTGGACTGCCTGCCTTTCTACTTTGAACCAGGTACACGGCCTTGAGCAGCCTAGAGCCAGACAAAACCCATCTTGGTCAGTATATATACAAACGAAAAATGCAATTAGAATGGAAAATAAAGTAGGACGGGAAATTGTGAATTGCCTACCGCCGAATCATATCTTCATTCTGCAGAATTTGGAGATCCCTTTCCATTCTTCGGGCTCTATACTCGCAAACTACTGCAGTCGCTGAAACACAACATAATTGGAATGTACAACGAAGCCAGGGATAAGCAGGATACGCATTACAGCGCGGGGTTCCGAATAACTGTAAATCCAGCCTGCTTGGCTGTGAGCATCCTTCCTCTCTCACCGATAAAAATGATGTATATTAAAATCCAAATATAACAAAGAGCTAGCCAAAAAGTAAAAAACCACGGGTGGCTCTCCCGCGGCAACTGCAGAGCACAAAACGGAAAGTAAAGGACGAAAGGTAGTCAACACAGCAACAAGGTAGCATCTTCTATGCCCTGCAGGATACTTTGAAGCGATGCATGAAAAGTTATCTGCTCAAATGAATCGTCTACAAATACACGCTCGGTAACTACGGCTCATTAAGCCCGTATTCAGGCTCCGACATGCCGACTCAGAAAGCACAAGAAGCAGAGGTCTGCAATGCCCTAAGAACTAAGCTCCAGACGGTGCTAGGGGTGTAGCGCAGTAGCGGCTTACGCAATATGGCGTCTCCTCTTGTATTTCAAGAAACCAAACAGTACCAACGATGGTCCAGCCAAAGAAGCACGGGAACAGTATGCCCAAGATTAGCACGCTAACCCAGAATGGAGGCCCCCGCTGCCGGTGAAGCATGAATTCCTCTCCATCCTGCACACAGATTGTGCGGCTTCACACGCGTGGGGTGATTTCTCCTCCATATATACCCCATTCTGTAGTGTCCTAACACTACAGCTCCGGAAAGGCTGTCAGCCTCCTCACAAACGCTCGTGACACAACTTCCCTTCCCTGCGTCACAACGTCTACACCTACAACGTACATTTGAAAGGTATTGGCCGAGGTAGTGCGACAACCTGAAAGCTACCAGGGCGACGTATGAACCCAAAAGCCAAAGGTGAACCGGCTTCGAACACGTGTCAAATGCTTCCCATTCGACGAAAACGTCCGATGAAGAATAGAGGAATGCGAACAAGAGAATGGCGTCATTGCTGCGCAAAAAAGTGGATGACGAAGCCCTCACCCAAAAGCTCTGTTTGCCCCGCAGATTAAACGTTCCCCCATTATCACGACGGAGTCGCTGTATGAGTACTAGTTCACGTCGTTTACGGGCTGCGGTTTACGATTCTCTATATCTCTTGCTCACAGAGTAGCTCCAGATAACACCATTTCTGCTGGTGGCGCATTAACGGTTAGCAACAGGCAAGAAATACGCAGTTGGTCGGGCACACGGCTACCCGTACAGTACGCTGGGAGCAGTTGGTGGGCAAGATCTGCTCAATGGCCTTTTGGGTCTTCACCCTCCAAAAGGGAGAGGCACCTTGATAATGGAGAAGCCTAGATGAAATGAAAACTTGCACGAGTCTCTTTGCTGGAGCCGCTGGCATTTCACAGGCTTCACCATGACCCTCGAACAAAACTGAACGGGACGGAGGAGCTGCTGTTTTGTCCTTCGTGTGAAATTCGACCCGTTGATGCTTGCAGGTCGGCCTTTCACATTGGAGCCGTTGCAATCACGGCAATGTTGTAGTTACGTGGTTTCGCTGCCAGTGGCTAGTGAGCACGTATGGGAAGAATGGAGCTCGCTGAAAAGCCAGCCTGCTGGATAAATGGAGTAACAGTTTGGAGAAGCCAAATGGGATGTTCTAGGAAGGGGAGGAAGAAGTGATCGAGCTGCTGCAAGACTCGGGGAGAAGGGTGATTGAATCGCGCCACCTGGCCCAGTTTACGTGTGTTTGATAAATACGCAAATCTGACAGCCACTATAAAATACTTCCCTTTTACTAGAGCGGCCCAACTCTACATGAAATGACGATGGATTGTCAAGGTGCAAACGCAAGGCAGACAACACGCGCCTTCACACAAAGCACCCAGGGAGGAAGAGCTCCAACGTAGAAAAGGCCCGTTAGGAAGGAATAGACTGCCACAATTAAGGAAACAATGAAGAAATATTTCACCGATGTGGGATAAAGAAGATCGAACCCGTGCTGTCTGTACAATGTACAATGCACAACGCCAGCAGCCTGGACGTATCGAGTCTGCTGCATCGAGCTATTGCCTCAAGTGAGTTTGAGCACTGAGAAGTTATGACAGTTCATCAAGTTGTTCTTTACTCCTTTTCTAATTCTTCATGGACTAACTCTATTGTTCCTTCTGAGCGTCAACCCGCACTAGAGGGGTAACTGCACTGTCCGATGCTGTAGCGTCACACTTCATGGCATACACAAACCATTGGATTCTTCAGCGCATCCCCAGTCTGCGTCGGCCAGACAATCGTTTTAACTCCTCTAATAAGAATGTTTTCAACTATGCTTTAACCTGCTGAAAGATTCAGTATAGTGCATCGGGGATTAACTTTACTGTAGTCACTGAAAACAGCATTCGATACACCAAGGGCAACGCAACAGCTCTTGCGTTTAAAGATGCGCGTAGCGAGCACGATATCCGTACCAGTAGAAGTTCAACATATATACCTCCTCGCACGGCCAATCCCTCTGGTTTGCAGCCCCCGCTACGGAGGGGATTCGACAACAGTGCTATCATCCTCTCAGCAGCATACACACATGCACTTCTTAAGTTGATATTAGAAGGCACATTTTTAGGGCCTCCTGAGCTTAGGTTTACTAGTTGAGCAGTGCTACGGGCTCTTTGCCAGTGGCAGCGTAGACATTTGAACTGTACATTTGAACTGTACCAGCTGATATATTGCGCGCTTCGTCTCACCTCAAGCACCTTATGTGTTCCCATCAACTACATTAGTGTACTATTACACGATTACCCTGTAGATGTCAAGCCCGTGCGGATAACTACATTAGTGTACTGTTACACGATTACCCTGTGGATATCCAGCCCGTGAGGATCACTCCATGCACCGCGGAAGACGTTCGGCCCAGTCTACCCCTCACCTGTAGCCGCGCAACAACCCTAGTCTGTCCACCACAGAAAGTCCTCCGAACGTTCACTAGGTCTACGCTAATCTAGTTATGATGAAGCGAGTTGCACCTGAAATATTTTGGTAGGGAGCAGATGCGCTACTCGCTGTACTCATCACACCTTCTATGGTGAACTTCCACGACATGTGCTCGGCTAGATAAATGGCGCCACGCAAGGAAACAGCCTGCTGCACTGTAGGAGGAATACAAACCGATCTGCTCTTTCCCTGCCAGCAAGCAAAGAAAATATTGAACCAAAAGCAAGTAGAAACGGTGACTTCCGGTGGATTTTACTAAAATGCGGTGAGCACAGTGAGTTGCGCCAGTTAAGACAGACGCACAAACGCCGTCATGCCTCATAGCCGGTGCCAGCGCCGCATATTTCTCAAAGAGCGCAGGTTCCAAAGTCACCTGTAGACCTCCAAAGCACCATAACTTTTGGATGAGCCGCAGTAAGGGTTAGATCCTAGCAACTGGGAAACGTTTCTTGGATGTGGCTCATCACGTTCCACGTTGAGGCGAATCTGCTTCTTTGTCAAGGTACACCAGCACATAGTTAATAAGAGCACGGTTACCTAACTGCATCACGAAATATCTACTGGGGCTAACTTTCGCCTAGGACGAGTTTCTGTTGAGGATGTTTCTCAGAACATAATGTAGTGCCCCTCCGTTTCTGAAATATTCCACTTCAACATCTGTGTCAATGCGGCATTTCGTCTCGAAGGATTTCCCACAATCCGTCTTTACGCGAATAATGGACCCAGGGACAAGCTTTCCATTATTCAGTGCGATTGTAAAACGCTCTTTTCCTGCATCAACAAAAACAGCAACAGCAACAAGTTGCTCAATGAAACCTTCATAGACACCAACGTCGAGACCATGCTCCACAGTGCTCGGAGAGCAAAGGCTGAAAATGGTGGATATGCGACGGAAAACGTGAAATGAAGACCAAGGCCGTGGAAGTCACCAGTCAGACTGTGGGTCTCCGCGGATTCTCCTTTCAAGAACTGAAGAGGCAGAATGCCCATGCCCACGAGGTTGCTTCTGTGAATTCTCTCGAAGGATTGAGCGATCACAGCCTTGACCCCTTGCAAATACGGGCCCCTGAAACTCAAAGAGCACCCACGCCGCTGCCTCGCTATGCAGCACTGCATGCCGTATTGGCATTTCTCAACACCCCCCGTGGCCGCTCTGTGCTTTTCTTTCCCAGTCTTTGCAACACATCGGGCGATAATGCATTCCTGCTGCTCAGTGTGCAACAGTGGAGACAGACTGTATGTCTACAACGCTAGCAAGAAACTTGAACAAATTACGGCGTGGCTAATGAGGCCGAAGAAAAACCCCGGATAACGTGCGCTTCCGTGTGGCCTACTTGGCAGCCCAGTCACGAGAGCTCCCGCTTCCGTATTCTTTGCCTGCCAGGACGATCATTGGTGAACCCTCAGCGCGGTACCGCTCGGCCGCCTCTGAGACAGGCAAAACGTCTCCCGAAGGCACATGCACTGCTTTGGGACCTGCAGTTGGGCACATCTTGTTCACTAGCCGAATGTTTGCAAACGTGCCCCGCACCATGACCTGCACACACACCCATGCTCTACGTCAGATGAGTCAACGCAACTATAACGCGAAGTCAATGCAATGCATGCTACTCCAGGACAGGACTCATCTTTACTAAATCTCAAAATTGAACTTATATATTTTCAAGTGTGACTAATTTTTTGCGCACAGAGAATGTAAATTATCACCACTGCACTAAGCCTCCCTAAATGAAGCTCGACACACTTCATCGTTCCCACGACGAGACCCGTAAGTGTTGAAGTCCTTGCGAAGCACCCCACGACCCATAAGGTACTTGGCAGCTGGTGAATCCTTTGCAATATTTCCTGCGGGAGAAATGTGATCGGTCGTGATTGAATCCCCCAAACTCAGCAGACAATATGCCGACTGGATGTCAGGGATTTCAGGTAGCGTCCGCTCCATCTTCTGTGCCATTTGAAGCACAAATACACAGAAACTATACAATGCACTGAGTACTAGACAAAATGCACCGGAAGACATCTCTTGAAAAGCCGGTAAAAGCGCTGAATGTGGAAAACGCGCGCTGCTTTGAGCCGACGAACTGCCATGAACATTTATCATCTATTTTACTCAAGTGACGTACGTAGGCCCCAGTGAGCCCACCAATACCCGATATCTAAGAGACAAGGCCAAACATATCAACAACTGACCTGGAAGAAGGGCGGGTTGTGAATGTAAGTTGAGTCGGACCGCCACCGATACAACACGGGCGAGTCAGATGTTTCCAGGGCCTGCCACTCCGGAGTTCCATGCGTGATGGTACTGTACACTTTCTTGAACATCTCCGGGCGCAAGCATTGCTCAATCACAGGTCTTATTTCACTGTGTACAGACGTAGAGAAGGACCAAGCACCAGCAGCACAAAAACAATCACATGACTATTTCTATAGATGTGGAAACTGCAATTGGCATGCGACAGCAATGTCCTTGGCTAATCCTTCTATCCCCTGCTTTTCCCTGAGTTCCCCCTTTTCATGACTCTCCGCGTGTAGTTTCACTGAAGCTTTGCAAGTAGCTCCCTCACTCTCTAGTGGGCCAAATGTCTCTAAGGAAGACGGGCTTTCCTTCTGTGTCATTGCCTATGGGCTCCGTATCGAAGTCTATGTCCATACGACCGGCCAAAGCATAGGCAACAACAAGCGGAGGAGAGGCAAGATAAGCGGCGCGAGTTAAGGGGTGAATCCGGCCTTCGAAGTTTCGGTTGCCCGATAGAACGGAAGCAACAACAAGGTCCCCCTCTGTAATAGCCTGCGTGACCTCTGGGTCAAATTCTCCGGTGTTGCCAATGCAAGTCATGCAACCATAACCCGCTAGGTAAAAGCCCAGCTCCTTCAGCGCCTTGTCCAGTCCAGCTTTTTCCAGGTATTGTGATACCGCTCTGGAGCCCGGAGACAAAGAAGTTACAATGTACGGCGCCACCCGCAGTCCCTTTGCCACCGCATTCCGCGCCAGTAACCCTGCCGCGAAGATCACTCCGGGGTTGCTGGTGTTGGTGCAGGACGTGATAGCGGCAATGCAGACCGAGCCGTGGCGCAGCTCGTACTCCTTACCCTTATGGATGAACTTGACAGAGCGTGCCTGCTGTTCCTGAGAAAGCCCGAATCCCTTGAAGCCTACAGGGCTTCCCAGGCATGTGCGGAAGTCTTCTCGCACTTGTGTCGTGGGTACAAGATCCTGAGGCCGTTTCGGGCCCGCAACGCTAGGGGTCACAGTGCTCAGATCAAGCTCCAGAACCTCAGTAAACTGAACCTTGGAGCTCTCACGAATGTCAGAAAATAGCTTCGTTGCCTTTGTGTAAGCTTCAATCAAACGCAACTGCTCCTCAGGTCGACCCGTCATCCGCAAATATGCCAACGACTGATCGTCCACAGGAAAGAAGCCGCAAGTTGCCCTATGTACCCAAAAGCATAACACACAAAAGATATGTTCTGCCAATGTCCTGAACAGCGATACGACTCACATTACGCATGTACTCATCAACACACAGCTTGGCATAAATTACCAGATTACTAACAGGTCAGCTTATGCCTGGTAATTTGTGCATGCATGCTTGCCACAACGACTCATGATACGAAAGTGAAAACACACAACTGTCTGAAGGTACATTTTTACACACATACGTATGTGTATGTAAACAGTCCTGTCGACCCAAAACCATCACGAGCAAGAAAACTATAGATGTGGAGCCAAAGGAGGAAGTGGTGTCTACTTGCGCGTCCTTTCAGTGCGCGCCTACCCGTATTCCGGCGCCATGTTGGAAACCGTTGCTCTGTCTGCAAGAGTAAGACCCTGAAGTCCCGGGCCAAAAAACTCAACAAATTTCCCAACAACGCCCCTTTTTCTCAGCATCTGTGTCAGGGTGAGAACGAGATCAGTGGCTGTCGCCATCTGGCTTAAATTCCCCGTTAGGTGTACGCCTACTACCTCCGGCAGAACCATGGAGATGTGCTGCCCCAACATCACAGCCTCTGCCTCTATGCCGCCCACGCCCCAGCCAAGCACTCCTAGACCGTTCACCATGGTGGTGTGTGAATCCGTACCCACAACAGAGTCGGGGTACAGCAGGCCCCCCTTGTCCATCGTGACGGAAGCCAAGAACTCCAGATTCACTTGGTGTACAATTCCAGAGCCTGGGGGGACGATGCGCATGTTGTTAAAGGCTTTGCTACCCCATTTGAGGAAGGCAAAGCGTTCTTTGTTTCTCTCCATCTCTTTCTCTAAGTTACGCTGCAGCGCTGACTCCGATCGGCTGTAGTCTACCTGCACCGAATGGTCCACCACCAAGTCCACATCGACCAGCGGGTTTATCAGACGAGGATCACCGCCCAGGCGCGCCATTGCGTCTCTCATTGCAGCCAAATCAACCACAGCAGGCACGCCGCTGAGCAAGCACAAACACACAATCATACGCACGGCAAAAATACATGTACCCGTGCCCCGTATCCATACTACCGAAGTACATGAACACACAGTGCATGAATACGTTTTCGCATGTTACCATTTGCAACTCCGCACTCCTTACCAAACGTCCACTTGAAAACAAATCTTCAACGATTGATTGTGGGCCATCTGTTTGCAGGTTTCAAACAGGTGTGCAACTGGCTCCGTTATCCGTCATTACGCCACTAAAAGGGTACAATTAGTCAGCATAAGTGGTCGCTGTTTGCCCTGATCTTGCTTAGGCTCACGTGAAGTCCTGCAGAAGGACACGGGCGGGCATGAAGGGGATCTCCTTTTGCTGCTTGCTTGTCTTGGACCACTCGAGGATCGTCTCTACATCGCCCTCCGTCACTCTGAGTTCCCACGTCATCGCAAAACCATGCAGGGAAAGGACCAAATATGCGCCATAAGACAAATAAAAGATGTGAGTACATTCAACACACCCACCGCCGGGCATACGCCGAATATTGTCAGTACGGAGAACCTAGCCCATCGCTGACTAACCAACTGTGGAACTGCTGTCCATTCAACCACATAACAACCCGAAATGATGCACATATTCGCTGCTGTACGCTCAACCCACCGAAATCCGTCACAGTTCCGCAACGCGGACTCCAGGAGGACGCGGACCGAGAAGGGCAACGTCTCATAACGATGATCGCCTAGAGCTACAACAAACAGAAAGTACTCCCTACATACTATTCATGAGCCAATTAACAGATCCATGATATCCTCTGGAAAAAAAGCGAGGGCAGCTACCGGCGAGGACACCGTGTGCAATACATGAGACGACAATATGAAGAGGGGGCGTCACCTAGCATGCATATTGGAATACACATGATTCACTTTAGCACCCACCCGTCAGGTCATAGTAGGCCTTCTGAGTTCCCGGGAGTGTCTTGACGAGCCGCTGAAAGGGTGCACCGGGCTTTGAGGAGAAACGGCGGGCGCCACCACCGCTGAAGCGCTGGCTGACCGAACGGAGCTTTTCCGTAGCTCCTGATGAAAAATTACTGCCTGCGTGTGACCGCAGGGAAGCTAGGAGGAGGCGCATCGTACTCCGCTACGGCTTGATTACGGGCGCAAGGGGAGGGAATCTAGGCCGGCCGGGCCTGCTCGTTGCTAGTGGAGGTGGTAAAGACGCCCTAATGTGGAGAAACGAAGAAATAAAAGCTGGGACGGCTCATAACGCTGAAAACTTCAATGCTGTGTTGACGGTAAATTGCGCCAGGAAGAACAGCACACGTCGCCACGATCAGTCTTCGCGGTACTTTGGGTTGGTGGGCCTTGAGAATCTCTGCCAGTCTTTACAGTTTGTTTACTCCCTTCGAGTAAGCTCCAAATAGCAGCCGTTGATAAATAACACAGGGGGAAGGATGCCGCATGTGCTGGACGATCGTCAGGTGCACTGGCTTGGACGGTCATGGGGCTTGCCGGCGAACGGTCACTGCAGCTAGGATAAACCTACATTTCGCTTGGTCTAAAATTTTCAGCTGAACGCCTGTTTGTAGGTATCTGCATCTCAACTGAGCCAGGAAGGCCCTAGATAGCTGCTACCTCCCTAATCAGGCCGCTGTTGTCACTTGCCACTTACCAGCATCATGGGGGGTGATGGCGGCTCCTTCTCTGGCCGCGCCGAAATGGTGCGGACGAAAGGGTTCAAGTTCTTAAGGAATCTTGGAGGAATGGGGTACACTCCAAACACCCAAATACGGGCGGCTGACGAGCGCTTTGGCAAGAACGAGAACAGAGACATTAGGACTCGTGCATGCGCCTACTCTGCAGTACGGACAGTCTATGTGCACCTCAGCGTTAACGTAGAGTCAGAGTCATGGCGCAGTCATGATGGCAATGCTCAAGACGTGGGCAGAACTGCCGCATCGTTTTGCTTCTAAGTGCAGAATTCAGGCGCAGAGTGCTGTTTTGTTGCTTTTTACAGTCCACGTACAGCTGGAACGCCTGGCCGATTGCGCCTGCCTGTTCAAAGTGGTCAGCGTGTATATTCATTGTCTCATTTTGCAGGAGAAGCTAAAGCCCCCGTTATTGGCTTGTCGCATCGGCCGCCTGTACAACAAGGAAGCCGTCATAAAAGCCCTTCTGGAGAAAACGCTGCCCCCTCATATGCGTCACATTAAGTCCCTGAAGGACATGAAGGACTGCGATGTAGAGGTGAGGCCCATCTAGTGGGCTTTCTACCGTCTATCCTCTATCCCTGCAGTCAACACCCTGAAGCGGGCACTTATCTGCGCACGTGCATGCATCGGCGAGCATCTTTGTGCAGGGGTGAGTGTGTACTTGCACGGCCACACACAGTGGGGTTCTTCGGTTGCGCTTTAGACAACCGCGGGTATGTATCAGGGCCGTTTGTGCATTCCTTTCCCCGCAGATTAACGCAGAAACGGGATTCCCTGTGTGCGCCGTCACCAAGGCGGACTTGAGCAGCGGAGTTCGCGGGTGTATAATTTGGCCGTGCGGCCATGTCGTTTCAAATAGAGCATTGGACGCGATGACACAGAAGGTAAGTGGCAGCTCAGTGCAGTAACTCGCAGTCTTATGGTGGAGGGCAGCTTTCACCTTATGTCCCCATTGATTATATGTTGTTTTTTTTTTTAGGACGGTGAAGGTAGCAGGCCCGATGTCGGCAACAACCAGTCAGGAAAGCCCAAGATCCGCGGAGTATTTACTTGCCCGATGTGCTCTAAAGAGCACAATGCGGAAGAGGATCTCATTCCTCTTTCTCCCGATGAAGAGGAGACTGTAGCTTTGCTTGAAAAGGCTCTTGCAAACAGAGCTGTCAAAGAAAAGAAGAAAAATGCGAAGACACCGGCAGGAGGAGAGCCTGAAGCAGCAGGACCATCCAGCGCCTCAACCTCACCGCCAGATAATACTAAGCAGATAGAGAAACCGTCCCCCCCACAGTCGAACGCTGAGACAGAGAAAGAAGAGCTGAGGGGAGTTTTCGTTCCTAAGCGGCTTAGAGATTGGGTATTGGAGTCTGAGCCAGTCGTCCTGCCCACCAGCACTGCAAAACGCCGGAAAGCCGCAGCTTGAAGTAGGGAGGCCGGACTACCCTGCCAGTTCGTCAGTAGACCTTTTTTTTGTACTTGGTAAATCAAGAGCCACTTTGCCATTTCGCTTCACGTCGCGGTGGCCCCACCCTGGTGAAGATCATGCCAACCATCTGGAGCGTTTCCAGCTGCTGGCCGCATCGGCCGTCACCAGCCAAAACTTAAATGTAAATTGAGTTAGACCACATCGCACGAAGAGCATTTTAAATGCGTTCCTGTCAAACAAGTGGGTGCTTGCCTCGTGCTGCGCAGGCTGTCACTACAGGCGACAGTTGAAGGGTTTTCGTCCACCCTCCCTGCGCAGTCTTCGTCACATAAGCTGCATGCCCGTGTGTGGAATTATCCTGTTCGTACTAGCTGACGGCACATTATGCAACAATGGTTCATATTCACGTTTGTCTTCGTTTCGATGGCGACTCGCGTGTTTGGCTTCTCCCTAGCAAACCCAAGCAGCTTTCCGCAGCATCAGACCGGCGGACGAGAGGTCACAGATGTGGGCAGCCTGAACTACACGAACTACAGTCGACAAGCTGACATTCAGGATGTTCTCTCAGGTTAATTAGCTCGAACTACTTGATGAGTTTCTCAGACGCATTGCCTATCGTCAACCATGTCTCACGACGTGCGCGGTAGCTATTTCAAGTATTCTGAAAAGTAGAAATCTCCAAGTGTGCGCGGACAGCCACCCGAATGAAACTGACTTATTTAAGTCTTTGTTCATTGTGAGCGAAAAGTGAGCCGTAGGCAGAACACCCCCCCACAACGCATTTCTGATAATGGCAATTCAGAAAGCGGCTCGCATCACAGGTGAAGCACTCTCTGGTACTGCTCAAGGAGCGCCGCTCCCCCGAGACTCTCGCTGGTAAGAGCACCAGAGATCCGTCAATTTAGCTGCATCAGGTGCACGTTGAGTGCAACCTGCTCTAATGCATGCAAACGTCAGACATTACGGTGTTGCTGAAGAGCATGCAGCGAAATGTTGACCGGGCAAGCCCTTACTGCCCTATAACAAGCTTCTGCGTAAACTAATCTCGGCTTTCAGATGGCAGCCACCATAGCCGCCGGCGACGTCTGCCTCTTCAAGGCGCAAGAAACTGTAATGGGTGTTCAAAACCTGCTGCATCGGGCAATTGACGCACACTGGGACAGCCTCCCCAAACCTGCAGCGCTTCATACCCACTCATGAACGCACAACGGCAAGCGCAGCAATAGCTGCGCAAGCGCAGCAGCGGAACGCTACGTGTTGGGCATGCCTCGGCTGGATTTATGTAATATATATATATTTATATTTGTATGTAGATCCGGCGTCTACTTGCTGTGTGTACACCAAAATCAAAATAAACAAACGCAGACGCATACAAACTCAGTTTTAAAAAAAATTAGTCTCAGCCCACAAAAGTGAATCATAAACTGCAAGTCGCCGCTGTGTCCTGCCAAACCGACAAAATGTCCGCCAAGCCCTCACGGGAGCCGCATGCAAAACGTGAGAGTGCATGCGCTAACACATGCACGGACCAACGCATACGCTTGTTATGAACGACAAATAAATCATGCAGCCTCAAGCTCACGTAGCACACTTCGATGCACGTGACAACCTCGTCCGCGCGACCCCAAAAAGTAGCGAAATCAGACGCTTTGCCCGAGCCGCCATCTCGTAGGGCCGCCCCAGTTGTGGTCTACGTACACGTGTGCTACTTCATGTGCAAATCTGTGCACAACTAAATGTTTACCAACTGTATATAACACTCATCACCTATGTACACTCTCGCCGCACGTCTGTCGCAACATGTGGCAACCACAATTCCACTCCACAGAAGTGGAGAAGAATGCCCCTCTGTCCCAAGCTGGAACACAGCGCTAGCTGCCTACGCCCGAACACAGAAAAAACATTCCCTTTATACCCAAATGCGCACGCCTAGATCCGCATACGTAGACAACGCGAGTAGCTGCATGCGTCAGCGCATGGGTTCATTTCATTCCGTGGTTTTAGTGGCGACTTTGCCCTGGGCGACAAGGTCTGGGTGAACGCCTGCCCTAATGAAATTGTCTGCGGCAGAGTCCTGTGCGTCCACCATAAACGTCGCGTCGTCCGCCATGGCCACGCGGCCGAAGACCCGGCCGCCGCTCTGGGCGCCCGCTGAGGTCTCCTGGGTATAGGTGAGCTTCGACATGTGGCGCGGCGTGGGCGAGAGACAAGCCATGGCTATCAGCCACATCATCGTGACGATGCACCAGAACGCATTCTCTCCAAACACGTCATGGTTGCAGGTCGTGCACTGCAGCGCATCCACACCGGCAACGGGAAGCTTGCTTGCAAAACAGCACGTGGAAGCACACAGCAATAGCTGCGTAAACAAACCCATGCAACTCCAACTACAAACATGAAACAACTCGGGAGCCTATGTGCCGCTGCGTAAACGTTTCGGCTCAGTCATGGCTCCCGCCGAGTCGTACCTGTGAGAACTGGACGCCACTGACGACAGCGAGAACGATAAAGCAGAAAATGACCAACAAGCCGAAGAGACGCATCACCTGGGACAACTCCCCAATCGTGAAACGCGTCAGGCCACTTTGCACCACCGCCGTTCGCTGGAAAATGTAGTAGTTGAATGTCATCTGCACAATGATCCAGCATGCACGCAAAGCTATTGAAGAACTTCAGCCCAACCCGCGACGGCAACAGTGGCTCAAAGCAACCAGAAGCAAAGTCAGCAATAAAGGAAGGAATCTACGCCTGCTGGGAGCGACGTACAATGGCCGCCGGCAGAGCCGATATGAGGCTCCAATACATTGGGATCGTCTTGGGGCTCCTGAGGCACCACAGACGCAAGGCCCAAGGAGAATCGATGCATGTCCATGAAGGCGACAAAAGCTAACTGACATGGGTTGCGTACTGCATCCGAAACTAAACAGGTTATGGCGGAGACGCGACTGGACCAGCAGAAGGTCTGCGGCTGCCCTTGTCATTTCAACTGCTCATTTTAAGCTGATCGAGACAGAACATAGTATGCAATGCTGCCCTGGGTTCGGCTGTGCTGCGGATGGCACTGAAGACGCAAGACTGGTATTCAGGGAGAAGGGCTGCTGGAGTGCCGCATGCGTACTCATCATGAACTGCTGGGTGGACCGTGTAGTAGCAGAAACAGCAAGTGGCGAATATGGTCCACAAACAAGGGAAGAAGAGAAAGAGAACATCTTTCACGGTCAGGTCGCAGACAGAGCCAAAGGCACGCCGCCCAAAGCAACTCCACGCCATCATGTAGAACCCGATCAAGACACCTTAGCAAACAAACAAGCTCGGCGTATCAACCTAAAGTAGACGCATTCAACGTTCTGAGACGACTAGTTGTTCCAAAAGAAATCCAGCTTTCGCAACGGGGGCCCTGAGGTAGGCCCCAAATCGAAGGGCGCTGAAGCGAAACCGGAGGGCAAGAAGAACAAATAGGTAAAAAGAAAGATATAGTTCGGCACGTCGTATTTCGCAGTAAAAAGAAGGTGTAATTTGCTTCTTTAAATGGTAGCGTTCACCAGAATTTGGCCTTTCTAACGAGACAGGTGCAATGTACAAAACAGCCCAACCAGCTAACTACTACCCTGGCGAGGAGCAGCACGCCCTGCCGCCGCAGGCAGAGCAGAGCTGCCCGTCATGCATCCCCCTGTCGGATTCGCTTGCCAATCTCACCTATACTTTTTCGCTTTTCTCTCTATCTAGAACTGTATTCTAGAGATTTTAGGTTTTCTTCTTCCAGCTGTAATCATTAAGGTGGATTACTTCCGCATCAAGCGCTGCGTGTGACTCGTGAGTAGGTGAAGGTGTGCGTGCGTGTGTAGAAAGCTGGTCGACCTCCTGTTGCCGTTTGTTTTCTTACTTGGATTTTTCGAGCTTTATACTTCAAGTCGCTTTATTCTGCGAAGATGGCGAGCGGAATGCCAGTCAACGAGTCCTGCGTGACTACGTTCAACGAACTCAAACTGCGTCACTCTTTCAAATGGATCATCTTCAAGATTGACCACGATGAGATTGTGGTCGAGAAGAAGGGCACTGGTGACGCCTCAACTCTCACAAAGGAACTTCCAGCTAGTGATTGCAGATACGCAGTGTACGATGAAGGTAGGTCGCTTTTTTTTTCCGGTTTCCACTGTGTCAACTCGGTCGTTCTAGTGTCAGGCGGAGCCATCAGTTCCTCCAGCGGCTCTAGTAGAAGAGCACTGCGGCCTGTGGCTTTTCCTTTAGAAATTTACGAACTTGTTTTGGTGTGCGGAGGTGCATTTTTTCTACAGTGGTTCCCCGCGCGGGTGTGTGCACTGGGTGCGCTGTGCACATGCGTGTGTCGGGTTGTTTGTTGAGGGAGCATTAGCTGATAACGCACTGCGAGACCTAAGCGCATTAGTCGGTGTCGATTTGTGTGTGCAGGCCAGAGGATCCACTTCATCTTGTGGTCCCCGGACTGTGCCCCAGTGAAGCCACGCATGATTTACTCTTCATCGAAGGATGCTTTGGCGAAGAAACTGGAGGGAACCGTGGCGACAACCCTGGAGGCCCACGAGCTCGGCGACCTAAGCGTGCTCCATTAGGACGTTTTCAACCCCTAGTCCGTAGCCCGCTAGCCAGAAACCCAGTGCTTGGAGCGGTCGCAACAACTAGCCGCGTTCGTGTAAATTGGGGGTTGTTGTTTCCCCGCTGCCTGCCTTCCCGCCTTCTTCCCCGTGGGACGGTGTGGGGGAGCTAAAGGGCAGGGTGTTCGCTGCTGCATAGTGAAGCAGAAGGCACCCGAGCCCCACACGCAGCTCCTGAAGCGATGTAGTCCAGCAGCGATGAGGCTGCGATGATTCGCTGAGGGCAGCCGAACTCGGAGACGGATAAATCGTAATTGCGCCGCGGGCGAATTGGACAACAGCGTCATGTGGTCTGCGTGTGTCATGTAGAGTTAAGGTTTAATTAGTAGTAGTAGATTAATGCAGGAACATTTGTAAAGTATTAAGGGTTCTAGACGCATTGCGAATTGAGGTATTTACACACTGTAGGTTGGGTATCAGGAGTGTGACAGGGCAGGCTCCCCATCAGAGTCATGCGCGCATTGCTATCAGCAACGGGTGCGCAGATCACGAGCCACTATAGGAACGGATTCACGTCAGTAGCTAGTGAGAGTGAGGCGCATTGAATACTCCGCAGTTGTGGTTGTGGTGAGTAACGCAAGCGGGGAGGTACACCTCGTGTAGAATTTGAGTAACGCAAGCGGGGAGGTGGAACTCCTCGTGTGGAATTTGCTTGGCTAGAAAGCGCCACTATGTTTTATGACGTGATGGCAGAGGCATGTAGGTGGTGTAGTGCTGAAACGTATGGCTCTCTTGCGCCACGAAGACAACACGGGCGGCAGAACGGCTTAAGCAGGCGTGGAAGGATAGGCACCTCGACGGTTCAAGTTCCTGCGTCCCATTCTGGCGAGTGCTTACGCGTTCACTAGTGAGTGCACTCCGAGGTGGAGCTTGAAGCGATGCTTCTTGTCGGTGCGTCCGCTGTTCCTTCGTATGTATTGTTGTGTCCACCCACCTGTATGCGTGCAGCGGCAGGAACAGTGTTATGCTCGTCTAAGTAGGCATCAGCACCAACCAGGCCTTTGATGGAAGGTAGGGCACAGCCGCGCAGGTAAGTAGACGTGATACATGGACAAAAGGGCTTGCCTTCAAACGTGCTCTCATGCAATGCGATTTGAGGGCAATTGAGCACAGCAAGTACCGATGCGTGTATGTTTCCAAGCAATTATTTCAATTTCGTGTAGAGCCTAATCCCATTGAGCTGAACCCAGTAGAATGTGATCTAGATGCGAGCCACTGCCAACTACAGAATTATATAGGCAACTCCCAGTGCTCGGTACAGCTGAGTCAGCAAGGAGTGCAGTCCATCCTTTTGCCAGTTACTTCGAGCTGAGGACAGCGCCAGTGCTCCTGTCGCATGTGCAGTCGATGTTCCTTTGGGCTAGTATTAAGTAGTGGAGAGGAGATGTGCAGGCGGACAACACAGTATCAGAAATGTGGTGCGTGACGGCCACTTTGTGTAGGTGTAATGTGAGTTACTTCATAAGCATATACTATGACCGAAGGGCATTCGTGATGAATGCAGTTTAAGCCAACCAATATCCGAACAATGCACGTGTCTTGTTCTTCATGTACGCACTTCGGGGATAGAAAAAAGAAGGCACTTGGTAGGCTTTGCATGGCACATAGTGCCGCTGCAGTTGGTGCTTAGGGGCCCGGCATTTTTCTTAGGTCACCCCATGACTCGCCATCATTCTGTTCTTTGATCATAGGACGCAGTACTGCGCAGCCGAGACCCTCTGATGCTCACTTCAAAATGAACATGAGGCTCTGTGCCTCAGTTTAGTGCTGGGTATCAGTGAGACACCCTAAGCCACAAACCACGACACGAATAAGACCAAATAGCATAAATTCATGAATCAGAGCGCATACAACGCTCCAGCACCGCACAAAGCGGCACTACGAAAAGAGAAATGATCTGCCATCAACCATCCCGGCCTCCTTACTTGTTGAGGGCGCAGCTAATTGCATAGACCTGATTTTGTACAGGCATCCATTTAATTCCTAGCTCCATATAAGTTCAACAATGTTTATCTTCAACGTTGTCAGGGGGACAAAAGGCTTATCCATCTTCAGAGTTCGTGGGCCCCTCTTTGCTCCTCCATCACTACATCGTTTCTGCTGAGTCCCTACTACCCTTTCGCCTTTAATATAAAACATTGATAGACTGAAAGGCACATAAAGGCATGCAGTGTTTTGGAGTAATTTTTTTATCACTCAGCCTTGAGTGCTGGTGCTGGCACGGCGGCTGCTGCTGCTGCTCTTCTGTCGCCGCCCCAGCAGAGCAGCAGTGGCCAGTGAGGCCCGATCAGCTCTGTGATCCTCTGCAATAAGACGAAGGCCCGCTTCTATGTTTCCCGTTGATTTCTTTTTATTATTTAGTGGGTCTTCACAATTAGATGATACCTCTTGTCAAAATCAACCAACAAACACACCTCAGGCACTTCAGACCGAGCCCGTGTCTGTCGTTTCCAGAGTTGTGAGGCCGTTTCCCCTCCTCCTAGCCTCCAAAACCTAGACCCTGTAAGCGAATACCTAAGTGCCCCTCTCTGAATCGCCCATCGTCTGTCCATGCTTTAGGCCACTTTACCCCATCTGGCCCCGTAAGACGGTCCTAAGCCTTCACAATGCAGCAGCCGTCCTACCCTCCCTCTAGACCACGACAGGGAGGGCCCCCCATGGGACCTCCGTCATTTGGATTTCCTCCAGGAGGAATGGGGCCCCCAGGTTTCGGCTGTGGAAAAGGGGCCCCGCCACTGCCAGGGGCGCCGCGTCCCCCAGGGGGCCCCGGAGGCAATATGGGGCCCCCAGGGCCAATGTTTCCTCCTCCGGGGGCCTTTGGGGGCCGACCTCCGTTCAGTGGCGGGCCTCTGGGGGGCCCTCCACCACCTGGAGGGTTCGGAGGCCCTCCGCTGCCTCCGGGGGGCTTTGGGCCGGGAGGACCCCCTTTCGGTGGCCCCGGTGGTGTCCCACACGAGGCGGCAGCAGCAGCTGCAGCAGCAGCTGCTGCTGCTGCGACACTAGCGGCAGCGACGGGTGGGTTTGGTGGTCTGCCTTTTGTCCCGAATGCGCCTTGTCCTGTGCCACCGGGGCCGCCTAATGGCGCCATTCCCCCTCCAGGGGCCCCTCTTGGGAGACCAGCACCTCTGTCTCTGGATGAGCATATGAAGAACGTGAGGCCCTCTGACTACGTGCCGATCAAGTCAGACAAGGGGCCGCGTCGTGGAGGAGGAGGCCCCTCACATCAGCAGTTGTTGCTGCAGCGGCTGCAGGAGGAAGGGGACTTCGGTCGCCTGATGAAGATGGCTAAGGAGCAGCTACAGCGGGAAGGGTTTGTTTTTGCTGTGCAGCAGCTGGTAGCTGGGAAGCTGAAGGAGGAAGAGGGTGCTGCTGCTGCTGCTGCTGGCAACGAGGAGCAACTGGTCAACCTCATAAGGGAAGAGGGGCGCAAGCACATACCTGAGCATGTGAAGAAGACAGTTCTTAGGACAATAGAGACACTGGCAGGGCTGGAGGCCCCAAAACCCAAGGCAGATCCTCAGGAATCCGGAGAGGAAGAGAAACAGCAGAAGGAGGAAGATAAGAAAGAGAAGCAGGAAGAGGAGCAGCGGGATAAGTCTCCGGCGTCTGCTGCACCCGCAGCTGGCGCGTTGGCTACAAGTGTCTCGGTCAGCAGGAGCCGCAGCGTGAGCCGAGGCAGCGTAGATCGCAGCCGCAGCGGCAGCAGCAGGTCCCCTGAGCCCTCTCCTGACAGGCACAGCAAAGCAGACAGTCAAGAGAGGCATTTGCTGTGGAGAAGAGCAGCAGCCTTCAGGTCCATTGCGGGAAGACCCGCCTCTGCAGCTGCTGCAGCTGAGGAAGACGGCCGCCGTAGCAATAGCAGCAGCAGGAGCAGGGGACGCAGCACAAGCAGGCGACGCAGTGCCAGCAGCAGCAAACGGAGGGGCAGCACCAGCAGGAAGCGGAGGAATAAGGGCAGGAGCCGGAGCGTGAGTAGCAGCCGCAGCAGCAGGCGCAGCCGGGGCAGCAGCAGAAGCGTAAGCAGCAGCAGGCACAGAAGGACAAGAAGGGGAGAACGCGGTGACAGGGACAAAAAGAGGAAAGAGACGGACAAGGACCACAAGAGCAGCAGCAGCAAAACAACTAAAGACAGAAGGGACAAGGGCAGCAAGCGCAAAGAGACAACAGACGCAGGCAGACATAAGAGCAGCAGCAAAACACAGAACAGCAGCAGCAGCAGCAAAAAGCAGAGCAGCAGCAGCAGTGGCAGCAAGAAACACAGCAGCAGCAGTAAGAGGTACAGCAGTAGCAGCAAAAAACAAAGCAGTAGCAGCAAGAAACACGGCAGCAGCAGCGGTGACAAACGCTAAGGTATATTCGTTTTCATGCGCAGATTCAAGATGCAACATATAGCATGCGGGCACTATACGCATGTGCCAATCGACGTTTTGCTTTTGTCTGCCCTGCCATATTTCCTGTTTGTTTCGATGTGCTCTTTGTCACATATCATTCCTCGTTTTCTGTATGCCTCCTCCTATTCGCTCCTTGTGGCCGTTTGCACGTTGTCTCATATGGACAGATAGAGAGATTATTGTTGCGCGACACGGTGTTGTTGCCGCGCGGCAGCAGAATTAAAGGGACAACTTGGGCTAAACTGACGACGCTACATGAAAGAGAAAGTGATACCCTCGAAGGCTCAGACAATACGTTTGGCCATTTAAATCAGATGCGGTCCAAGCTTTGATGCTTATGCTTTGAACAGTAGTATTACGGAAGAAGGACCGTGAGGCTTCACCATTCAGGGCCCAACTGCAATTTAAATGCTCAGGCATGTGTGGCTCAGGCTTTTGCGCTGCTGATGCACTGCTCAGTATGCAGGCTATACAGCTCTATATTTAGGATTAGGTGCAGCGCATGCATTTGCGAAGAAGAGTTGGGATAGCTTTTAGTTGCATCGGCTGTGTCCCGCTAGGGGATAGTAGCGGCCAAAGATAAGGTTGCTCGGTAAGATGCTTAAGTGGCACCCTGTTCCACAGAGTACCCACCGGGACCAACGACGAACTCTGAAGCGCTGCAGCCACATTGTCATAGAATATCTGGGCGCTGCCCGTGCTCAGATTGGCACTTGGAGACAGCAACTGGAACTACAACTGCCGTTCAAAAAGCAGCATTTCCAACCTTCTGCACCAGATGCTTCCGTGGCCATCTGGGTCGTTGCCGGTGCATCTTACTCTCTCTCGGATCTTGCGTGGACAGCTGTGGAGTAGACGGTTGACACACTTTGGAACCCTGAGGGTCCTTTACTTCTGAGTGAGCGTTGGTTCCTCTTTGCAGTACCTTTAGTAGAATAAGGAATGAGGGCAATATCCGGTGAAAACTGGGAGCGCTCATCCTACCGTAGCAAAGCATGGTTCATGGGGCTGAAGGTCTTGGTGGCCCTTTTCGGGAGTGCCTTATACAACCACCTCACAGAGGACGCTGACGGCGGATCGGGCCTCCACAAGTTGTTTCCCAGTATTCTGCAGCACTATCGGTCGAGGGCTGATACCTGCAGCGCTGCAGGTCGAGGCCTGGCAGGTGGTGCTAGGGCACGCCATATTTAGGAAGAACTGGGCTTTTGGAAGCGTTTGGCTCCAAAAAGGGGGATTCTCTTTCCGCTCGAGCATTAGAGCGAACAAAGAATTTGCCTTCAGAGGTACTTTGGGGGCGTCCCTAAAACTGCTAAGAGTGCATAAACTTCGAAAGCGATACTCGCGTCAGAATTCGCGCCAGCAAATTTAAGCCCAGAAGACTCCGATCTACACGAAGTCGAGACCTCTTTCAAATGCATGTGAAAAAATGGGTAGAGCTCCCTTCTGCTCTTTCATCACAGCCATATTTCAGCCTTCTATGCAATATTTTCTGCACTCATGAGGTGAGCAGCAGCTCAGTGCCAGCACACCGAATCCACCAGGGATTCCGTACCCACAACGCAGGGTGGCTGCTTCAGCGTTTTAGATCGCACTGCTGTAGGAGCCCTGCCTTTGTGCTGGGAACAACCGAGCGTCTTCGCCCACATCGCCATAAGAATACTACGTTTGTGGTGAGACGGACCAAAGAAAATTTTTTGCTTTCGCCTGCAAAGCCTGCTTCCTGACCTTACAGGATTTGCGCTTTTTTTGGTGCCCAAAATCGAACACCTTTTAACATGTTGCAAGAACCGCACCTTCTGAGTCGGCTGTGCTGTCCATGCTAGCTGCGCTGTCCACGCTAGGCCAAAAACAGCACTAAGGCCCACATAGCGCGCCAGAAGTTCGCGTCTGGAAAAGATTGTGTGTTGCTTGCATTAAAGGAAAGCCCAAAAGAACTTGCGATTCCGTACAGGCACAGTTTTAAATGCAGCGGAAAAGTATTAGAGGCATACGGATTGCAGTGATTCGAAACGATCCATCCAAAACACCGTGGGCCTGATCTGTCATAAAAGTGAGTCTCTTCACCAAAGTATATTTACATCTGCACCCTAAGTTTTCTTACCACAAATTTTACTGCCTCTGGAAGTTGTTCCTGGGCAACTTTGTAGTGGATGCAGCGCCCTACACTCGGTTTCCTACGTTTACAACACATCCCTTGGATTTCATAAGCTAATATATCCTTGAACAGTCTATAGTCACACATTCGCTACAGGGATTTATCAAGACATGGGTAAATTCACAACCAAATATCCCGAAACATAGAATAACGACGTGTGTGCCGAACTGCGTCCCCAAACCATGCATAGCTACGTACAGTGAAATAAGCTTTCAGAAAATTTTCATACAGAATATTTATTTCGACGTGGGACTAAGATCGATCGTTGCACTCCGTTTGGCAACGACAACTTGTCTACACAACAAGGAGCAGAGACTCGGACTCCACCAATGTTGCATAGTCTCATCGAAACCGCCAGGTGGATTCCAGGAAAGGCATTGTATTCCTACAAAGACACAAAACAAGTTGAAAGCTCAAGGCTAGGGAATAACGCTGTACATGTGAAAATGGGGACAGAAACCTTGGGAAGCATCTCACTGCATAAACTAACTTCTGTGGAAGATAATATCAAGTAGCGTACTTTGTAATCGTTTCATCGCCTGCATCCCCCTTCAGTTACGTTATTCTATCCACTGAATTTGTTTTGATAATTGAATAGAGCGGAATACAACGCGTATTGAAGAAGCGAAAACGAAGGCAAGCAGTGGGGCACCACTTTCTCTCACCGCGGCATTGTCGGGGCTGCTGCATGGAGGTCTCCTGCAGCCCCACCCACCCCGGTTAACCCGTAGACGAGAAATCTTAAATGCTAAACCTTCATCAAGGTTAATGTGATTCAACATCAAGACGAAAAGAAGTCGGCTGCTGTTTCCAGTGAGATGAACGTAGTAATCGCACAAGGGCATATCTGCTGCTGTTGCTGTTGTTGTTTGGTGAAACTGCTCCCGGCATAGCCGCTGCAGGTGCACCTCCAGCTTCTTTAGGCTGCTACACGATTAGTATTGTGCGTTTTCGGTGCTGTTGCTGCCCGCAGTATCGGCAGCAGCGGCAGAAGCGGCAGTGGCGGAAGAACTCCTTAGGGCTTAAATGTTTGTTGCCCCCTCAGGACCGCTCGTATCTTGTTCTGTTCGCTTCGCATCCGCAGCAGCAGCCCGTCAATTTTTCCCTAGCACCTGCGGCATCTGCAGCAGCACCATTGGCGGCTCCAGAACACCCAGTTGTAGCAGCAGGAACAGCAGGAGGATGGCATCCGCAGCAGTAGCTAAGGGGGCCGCAGGACGCAGGGCGGACGCCGGCACGGCCCACACCCTTGGTGCCACTGGGCACATTGGGGGACCCTTCACCCCTACTAAGGATGCTCCATTTATAAAAAGGCGGCTGGAGGTATTCCAGCGCCTCATGGCCAAACAACAGCAAGACATTAAAGGTAAAGTTGCTGCTGTTTATCTCGACGCTGTAGCTGCTGCTGATGCTGTTGGCGCTCTTGGTTACTGCTGCCGCTGGTCTAGGGGACGCTGCCACCCTCTTCAGGCAGCGTCTTCAACCGCAGGAATAATAGTAGTGAGGGTAGTACAACTAATGGCGAACAGGCGGTTCGTTATTTCTTGGTAGAGGGCGGCTGTATAGCTTTTCTTTACCGCCATATGCAAGTACTCGGATGAAACCCGCCAGACTTTTTGCTGCAGGATTGAGACAAAGAGAGAGCATGAGATTTAAGCGTCAGGCTGTAGACATAAGGGGTTGAGAAGTAGAAACAATGGATTAGGGATATATCTTCCATAAAAACAGGACAGCCCGATACAAGAACATAGATATGTGCGGTACAAACGGAGATAGGTGTATCCGTTGTACAAGTAACGCATTGCGGGCGTTGCGATTGTTGGATCAATGACGCGTCTGGGAGTGCACACATAAAGACTGCATGCAGCTAATTTAATAGAGGCTAAGAGAATGCATGCTCCTTGTCTTGGGGCCTACAGAAAAAAGCCACGAAAAGATTACTATTGAGTTGCCAGACGGCAGCAAACGCGAAGGCGTTTGCTGGGAAACAACTCCAATGCAAGTCGCAGCAGAGATTTCCAAGGGTCTTGCCAATGCAGCGGTCATTGCCAAGGTAAGCTAGGGCGTGTGAAGCTACAGGCGGAGCAGTAAGCGTAATAGCAGCAACAGCGGCGGTGGCAATAGTTATCAGGGAGAGGAACGGTGCCGCCATTGCTCTTCCTTTAGTAACCCTGCTGCTTGTTCGTAGCTGCTTACTTGTGTCGCCTCGTTGTTCGTGCTTGTTGTCGGTACGATGTGATTCTGCTACACCTAGGTCAGAATTCGCACGGTGTGTTCATCGATTGGCACGTAAACAGACCATTTTGTGTTCCTGTGTAGATCCTGTTCAGGTAGCCTATGCGGACAGCGCTGCTGGGTCTTCGTCTATGTTGGCAGCAGCCGACGATGAGACGACAGGAGCGGCTGCAGAAGAAAGCTGCTGCGGTGGCGACGAGTCGGAAGCGGAAGCCGAGCATGAAAAAATCCCCTGGCAGCTTTGGGACATGGCGAGGCCTCTTGAGGGCAGCTGTAAACTGCAAATCTTGAAATTCGATTCGCCGGAAGCTCAAAATGTGTTCTGGCATTCTAGTGCTCACATTTTAGGTAGGTGCTGCTTTGAGGTGTCTGCCTCTGTTAGGCTGGTTGTCTTTTTGCCTGTGTTTTGTGGGTTCAACGCTTGCCGTTCCCTGTCTTTTCGTTTCCCTTTATTTGGCAGCGACTGCGCATGTTTATGCGTGCCCTCTATTTAAGTTTATTTGTTGTTTTCCGAATTCTGTCTGCTTGTTCCTATGTTTTAACCTCAAGTCTTCGTGATTTTCGTCCT